TCGAAGTTGAACTCTGGGTCCGAAACGAAAGAACTGAGGGCGTCGCCAAACTAGGTGTCCTGTAAGAGGCGTTGCTACTGTTGTGTGACTGTAGGAAACGCTGGAGCAAGGGTGATTTGTCTGCATGCTTTGCCTTGTAGAGCGGGTCAGATCGAGGTGTGCAGGTCGCGAAACAACCTCAGACACTCTGTCTCCGCAACATCATAGGACTCTCGACCGCCAAGCGCGGTCTCCAGCAACTGCTTGCGGATGGGATCCAACCCGAACCGCTCTTTGTGCATCCATCCAAGCTCTCCCTCAGGCATTGTGATGCCCTCTCTCTTGAGACCTGCGCGGAATCTGGTGCAAAATGCACTGATCCTCTCGCCAGGGTTCCGCTTGATCTCCTAGTAGTACATGGAGCAAAGTTCCCCTTTTCTATCCAGAGAGGATTTGCCAACTTGGTCAGGCCGGCAAAAGGGTCAGCTGGAGTGACAATGATCTCCTCCTTGGTTTCGGGATCCTCCATGGATTCCTCAGCAACTCCAGCAAGCTCCGACGGGTCGAACTCTTCACCTCGCGCTCGAACAACTCCATGCTGTCTCAAAGCCCAGCGGGCTGCAACATTGAACTTCTTGCAACGATTCAAAGTCAAGCGAAGCAATCCACCAGTTCATCTCGCGGCGAAACTGCCGCCATTCAGCAGGATTCCCTGTCCACGTCGGGAAACGATACCAACTCGATGTTCCCGACTCTTTCTGAGGTCGAAGCCATCTCAGCAACAAGGTGGAGGCAAAGGCGAAGGCCTCCAAAAAGCAACGTGCAACGTCCAAGGCCCTGTGCGGTCGGCCTTCAAGCAAAAGGTGGAGCCTAGTCACTCCAAAAGGGTGAGGACGAAGAAGTCAAGGTCCTCAACGAAGGCCTAGTGGCCGAGGTGGAACACAAGGAAGTAGCCCTTGGGGCGAGAAAAGGTGTCAAGAGACAAGGACAGTCCAGTGGTCGGAAAAAGGTGTCGCCACAACGATCACTCTCTTGGTCTCAAGGTCCGTCACCCGGAACACCGCCAAGCGAACAGGTCCAAGACAGCCACAGTGCAAAGTTCTGGCCAAAGAGGAGGTCAAAAGCGAGGTGCGAGTAGCAAGGAGCAGCGCAGAGCCAAGTCAAAGGCGAAGCGTAAGGTCCCAGCAAAAAGGCAGGCTCCGGTGCCACTGTGGAAACTCGACCGAACGAGGTTCCAGGCACACTTTTCGCCTGAAGCGTAGCAAGCCAATGGCTTAGGCCTAATGGCCGCGGACATGAGAAATCACGCACCCTCAAACGCAGGAATCCCACCTGAGGCAAGGCAAGTCATTTCACAAAGCGAAAGCAATTTTCTGCTTGTTCTGTTCTTTGCTTTTTGATTTTTCATTTGTTTCTTTATATCTTTTGTTCGATTGTTTTTTCTATTGCCCGCATTCTTTTTTTCGCATTTGGTGTTTCGTTATTTTTTGGGTTTCGCTTTTTTGTTAGGTTTTTTTTTGTTTTTTAAATTACTTTTTTTCGCTTTTTCTTTTTGTTCGCCTTTTGCGTTTGCATGTGCTATTGTTTTTTCTTTTTACTTTTTTCCGCTTTTTTGTTCGCTGTTTGCTTTTGCATTGCTGTTTTTCTCGCTTTTTGTTTCGCTTTTTGCTTTCTAGTTTTTGCTTTTTCCTTTGCATCTTTTTGCTTTTTGGATTCGCATTATTTTGCTTTTGCTTTTTGTAGTTGCTGTTTTTCGCTGTGTTTTTGCTTTTTTAGTATTTGGAAAAACACTCAGAGATAGCCTAAGTGGTTTTCTTAAATATAAATTTGTCATTCGTATGCGGTCATTGGGTGAACTTAGGTGAACTTAGCAAGCATGAAGGTCACCCAAGAAGGCCCTCCTTGACGGTGTGCATAAGGGTGTCGCCTTTGGGAAGCCTTAGCTCAGATTCACACACTTCAGAATGTTACTCGTTCTGCGGGGAAAAGAGTGAAGGATGGTTGCATGTTCAGGTTGTTGCTCAAATCTTAAAACACTTGTCACTTGTCAAATTCTCTGATGCCAGTGTTTCGGAAACAGCTTCGTTCTTATTCTGCAGCGGTCCGAGGGGCGGCCCGTAATAGATTGACACGCAGCAAAAGTTTTCACGGGAGAGGTCCTCAGAATGACGCAGGCTTGCTCAAGGTGATTTAGTGATTGGCCCAAACTTTAAACAACAAAAAACTGCATCAAAACCGATGACTGATGCAAGGAACACAAATAACAAGGGACAATCCTCTGCAGTCTGGCGTGCTGCGGTCCCTTCAATTTACACTCTCACGCTCGCTCCTTGTCGAGCATCAGAGTCCGCACCTTCGACGTGCATTTCACACGACACTCAACCCTCACAATCACAGACCGTGTCCATCACTGTTTGAATTCATTAAGTCATACAAATCGTATGCCAAGGCCTGAACAATTTGCCCAAAGGCTTCGCTAGGCTTTCAAATCATTTTTCTTGAACCCCACAATGACTGGCCTCCACAATACCAAAGCGCCGCAGAAGCAACGGTGTTGCTGCTCGGCTTCGCGGCACTTTCTCCTTCACACTGCGGTCACTTTTGCAAACCTGTCCTCAACTTCCATTTTGGCGCGAATGTTGTCAATGGAATTTTGCTCCAGGCAGAGGGGTTTGTTCTTCCTGCCTGTTTTCAAAATACAGCATAACAAGTCCAATTCATGTGGCAAGTATGGGACTCCCAAGCATCACACCCTTGTTAAAAAGCAAAGATTTGCCTCGAACGTCTCCAGGACCCTATGCCTGCGTGCTTTTTGACCGTAATTCATTTGCGTTTCGAGTTTCTACGCGAAATGCTCGCAGGGCCACTGGGGGAACACTTGATGTTTTTATGTCACAATGTAGGTGTTTAACTTTTTTATTTTGGGGGGCGTGAGGTCGCAAATTTTGTTTTGAGCACTTCTTGCCAATATCATGTTCCATTTACGTCTCACGTTTTGTGTCCGTTGACATGATCCTTCGGTTGGACATGATCCTTCGGTTGGATCGTAAGGGGTGGGGTCCAAAATGTTAGCCTGCCTTTGATATTGTGTCTGAAGAGCTGGCGAAGGCGTGTGAGCTCCGATGAAAAAGGAGCGAAACTAAATCAATTCCGGAATCAGTTATTTTCGAGGCAAGCCATCTGCATGACAATTCCATTGTTCGCATGTTCACGTTGTCGCCCACCGTCCTCGTGCCCTTATTGCCTGTATGACATTGAAAGGCATCCAAGTCAACCACTCGCTTGAACTTGCAGGAACCACACAACTTGCGGTAAAAGGTACGAGTACATATTAAATGTTATCACACTAAATGCTTACTGGATTGACATAAAGCGGGGCAACGTATGACATACTTGCCGCTGCCCTTGTGGCGAAACACAAGTTTGTTCTTCTTGCCTGTTCTCACAACACAGCATGGGTCGGCAACAAATGGAACCGTACAGGTTCAGGAGTATGACGTCACTTGTCACACCCTTCAAACTTGATGGTACTAAATTCTTGCCGCTTTGGGAATCAAGTGGAGTGACCTGTCCGGCCAGTACTGTCCATGGTGGAGAGAGAGAAGAGAATGTATGACTGGTATTGACTGGTCAAGTGCTGCTCCTCCACTTTGGATTGCTTCTTTTCCAGTGGTGCTGCTGGCACGTAGAAAATCGCAACCTGATGATGTTCATGACGTGCCCGATGCAATGATGCTTGACGCTAATTCAAGCAGCTCTTGACTGAAGCTCTGGAATGCTGTAGACTTTTTGTGTTAGTTCTGCCTCTTCGGAACTGAGCCAAAGGATTAGAAGCTGCCAAACCTTGGAGAACTACGAGAAAGTAAAGCTCACTCCCATCCAGGTTTGCATCTTGTACCACAGCGACTGAGGCTTTAAGAAGCTCACGGGGCAAACAAACACCTCCAGAACTTGCACCTGGCACTCGATTGAAGTCGCAATACGATACAAAGTATGCAAACGCAGCTTAGATGTTAGTCAAACAATGTTGTGCACATTGGACATGCTACAAAATGTACTTGGCTTCGGCTTCAGGCAACTCTGACAGAAAAAAAGAAAAGAGGGTTTCCTTATTCAGCCTCGCTGTTTGGAGGTGGCGGCAAAGTTGATAGCAATGCTTTGGATTTTGCTGAATAAACACGGATGGCCATATCCTGCCAGTCCCCAGTCTTGCTGTATTAAAACCCCTGTGCGAACTGCATGCGCAGAAAGCAAGTCGACAATTTTGAGAGTCAGTGTGCATGGGTGCATTGAGTTTCATGACAGTATCTCCTGACGCCGTGCTTCTTGTCTTTTGATACAGCTACCCGTCTGTAGTGGTTGACATGTTGACTTGAATTCTCAAGGTCCTCAGATGCCAATACTGCAGCGCTCGCCAAAAGTGGCTCAACCTGGCACACGCGAATCAACAGCATTAAGAAGATTTCAAACGATCTCTTGAAAGGATTGGCAAAGCACCTTTAAACCTCAAAGAAAACAACATGTAAAGCAAGAACAAGAGCTAACTGTAGGACTCGACAGAAGTGCCTTGTTCTCACCCTTTGTCTCCAAGGACCTAGTGAACTCGAGTGTGTATCTTTCCAGTTTGCTTTCCTCCAGTTCTTGACTGCAATGTTGCTGTACAAGTAATCCAACGTGTAATACAACAAGCTGATCTTGAACGCCTCGTGCTGTTCTGTGAACAGGGAAAAGCACATTTGTGATGACACTGAGGCTTCGGCTGAGAGTGATATGGTGGTTGTGCAATTTGGACCTGATGCAGAAACAGGAGGAATTCAACAAAGCACAACATCTTCACAACAAAGGCACATGGACAGACTTAGTCTTGCGCCACTGCACTACCTGTGGTCGTGGCAAATGGAGAGGCATAGTGAGCCTTAGAGCTCTGCAAAGGGACACTTAAGTTCAAGGCCGGCCTTGCGAGTCGAGTTTGCACACTTTTTGACACTTTCATCCGCACCTTTTGCGCACCACCTTTTTGTTCAAGATGCTCTGATGCCTTTCAGCGATATACCCGCCGCGGCAACTTCCTTCCTCAGTATTCAAACGCTTCGAAACATGAAAAGGCCCTGCAATCTCCGTGGCCTCCTGTTCGGCCTAATGTAATACCTTAAAGGAATAACAACATAGATTCGTCAATTATATACATCTCTAATCATCTTTATGTATGTGCATGTCTAGAGCTCTTGAGGCTTTAACGAAGCTCTTGCCAAAGCTCTTGAAATCGACCTTGGGGATCTCTCGAAAGCCTTTGAAGGCTCGGCCTTCGGACGCGTTCACTGTCCATGGCCCTTCGAGATCGCAGCGTTTCCAGGGCCATGACCTGAGAGCGCAGAAGGCGCAAAAAGCAACTTGCAACTTAGGAAAGAGAGAAGTCACTTATTTAACACAGCTACATATCATGCACAGGACAACACCAACAGTAAAAAAAACATCTAAGCAATGACTCTTGAGAGGTCTTTCCAGGCTAAGCTCATTAAAAGGGTATCTTGTCTAGGGACAACATTCATATACTCTGTTCAATTCTATTCAAAGAGACCTTCTTTTTGAGGCAGACTACAAACTCTACGTCAGACCACAATCATGTGAGTTCTGCTCTCTTCGTTTTTTGCCCTTCATGGACTTCTGCAGCTGCTACAAACATCAATACACACATGTTTCAGCAACTTCGTCAGCATGTACACCAGAAAAACACATATAATTATCACATTCGTTGCACAGCCTTCGGCCATCAGCCGGGACACTTGATCCGTGCGGTATATTCAGAAACCATCCTGACCGAGAAAAACAAGCACGCAGCATACAAGGAAAAGAGGACACATGGACACCCTAAGAGAACCTTCTGCTCCAAAGAATCAAAAGACCACGTGGGCACCTTCTACCTACAAGAAAGTTTGTCTCAAACACCTTCAGAACCTTGGTGCCGTTTTTCCACCAAGTTGCACAAAAGGCCTTGGACAGGCAAAACAAAAGCACTGTACCAGGCATGGTAATACAGAACAAAGTGAGAAAACAACACACACACAAATACGCAATGAATGACAAGCATGCACACAGAATGCAAACATAATGCAGAGTGCACTAAGGCAAAAATCAACGTCAATGTAGAGAAGCGGGGGCTATAGGTTGCTACAGGAAAGGTAGGTGAGCGGAAGCGCGCAGCATGTTCATGCAAAGTTGTTGGCCACTTGGCAAAACAAATGCACATAGCATAATTTTAAATTTTGCATACACATTGTGTTGATTGACTGACGCAATCATGTGATTTTCCAAAGGAAGTTGGCATGAACCAGACATGCAGGTGAATTGGGCCGATGTCTGTGGCCATCGTATGTTCAATGTTGTAGGGCCCTTGAGTCACCCCCGGCGCGCCACTCGCTCGAAATCGTGCGTCTTCATTTGAGATTGACTTGGAAGACCTTGTGAGCTTCAACTACAAGTCGAGATTGGTAGCGGAGCCCAACACGTTCCTTTCTGAGTATACCAAGGGTGCACTACTTGATTGAGGACTTCTTTGAGATCCCCCTTGCAGTTAAGGATAACGTCGTCTCGACGATCGTGTTCGGTGCACCATGGCCGGAAAAGGCCAACAAAGAAGAAGGCAGCAGGAAGAAGAAGCTGAAAGTGCCCCATCTTCGCCTACCAGAGCCAATGGTGGAGGTAGAGGATCTGAACCACCTTACCGAGGTCTAGATTCAGGACTCGCCAAAGCCGCTCCTCTGGCTGATGGTCTTAGTCAGAAGACATACCGGAGTTTTCGTCGCCGCCTAGAGTTGTTTTCACTTCAGTGCAGGCGGAGGTCACGTGATGCGGAGATCGGGGGCGCATTGCTTGTTGTGAGTTTGTTGAAAGACTCTGCATGGGAAGCATGCGAACAGTTGGACTACAAGGAGATACAAGATTCCACAGAACCGTTCAAGCCCCTTGTGAAGCTGCTGGACCAATTGTTTCAGTATGAAGAGATGGTTGAGATCCCAAGTCGCTGCGCTGAGTTTTTTGAAGAGTTTCAGCGAAACAAACATGAGGAGCTGCAAGCCTATTTGGTGAGACACAAATCGATGATGAAGAAGATGTCTGAGATCAAGATCACCATACCTCCCTTGCTTGCAGGTTGGCACCTCATGACACGTGCAGGTGTTCCCCGCTGGACTCATGTGCAGGTGAAATCCATGTGCGGAGGTGATCTTGACTATGACAAAGTCAGTCAGGCTTTGATGAGGATCTTCGGTGGCGACCACAAACCAAACAACAAGGACTTGAACTACCACACCAAAAGCTTCAAGGACGACACCTTCTATGAGGAGGAAATGGAAGAAGAATACTATGAGGAAGTTGATGAAGAAGATTGGTGGGCACAAGATGTGTTCTACGAAGAAGAATGGTTGGAAGAAGAAGATGAGGTTCCGGATGAACTGGAATCGTGTGCTGACCAGGTCGAGGAAGCTTTTGTGAATTACCTGGACAGTCGCAAAAGAATGAAGGAGTTAGCGCTTGCCCGTGGATTCTACCCCGTCATGGCCATTGGACCAGAGTTCACTGGCTACTCCAAGGGTGGCAAAAGTGATGGAAAAGGAAAAGGAGGAAAAGGAAAAGGAAAGCAGAACAAAGGAAAAGGAAAAGGCAAAACTGGTGGCTTCCGACGAACTCCTTTCAACCGACGACCGAATTCTGGAATCCGAAAGCCCTTCAATGCTAGTGCAAGTACAAATGCCTCGGAGATCAGGTCCACCTTGTCAGGATCTACATCTTCGCATGGTCCACGGTTCAAACGATACCGCTTGCAGGCCAATGGAGTGAAAGAAGTTCCTGAGGAGCAGATCTCTATGGTTCAGGAAGAGGAGACCTACGACATGCCCAACATCGAGGACGAGATTCACTTCGTTGATTTGTCTCCTGGCCTGGCCATCATGGACTCAGGAGCTACTCGAACCATTGTTGGTGAAACCTCTTGGAAACAATGGTTGGAGCATTATGGTTCTGACACCACCAAACCAGTCGTCGTCACACCCATGATCAGGAGCTTCAAATTCGGTGGTGGTGAAACATTGATGTCCCTGTATGATGTCACCTTCACGGCCGTCATCCAGAATCAGGTCCTGGAGCTGACTGCGTCCGTTGTGCCTGGAAATACACCTTTTTTGCTGGCTAGGCCGACTCTTGAGGCCTGGAAGGTGAAACAGGACTATGCCTCCGGAAAAATCCGAATTGGTGAATCTCCATGGTTTGAGCCGTTGAGAGGAAAGAAAGGTCACTATTTGCTGAACCTCATGGAGTACACGGAAATGGTGAACTACACCTGTGATGTGCTAGCTGCGCATGAGAACTTTGAAATCGAACCCGTGATTGAGCCAGATCTTTGTGATGCCGATGACCATATCGTCCTCGACAATGAGCAAGAAGAAATCCACAAAATCTCTGAAGAGGTGATCAAGAAGATGCAAAAATGCAAAGATCTGAAGTTTTTCGAGGTCTATGTGGACAATGGAAATCTTTCTACGTATTTGGCCAATCACTATGGTGAAGTTGAAGTCTCGCCCTTCGGACTGCCAGATTGGGACTTCACGAAGAAAAGTCATGCCAAAGCATTCCTGAAGCTCATCGAGGAGGTTCGCCCACACTTCATTTGGTTGGCACCACCGTGCACAAAATGGAGTGCAATGCAACGACTGAATGCTAGAGATGAAAAGGCAAAAGAAAAGCTCAAAATTGACCAACAGTTGGAAGAGAGCACACACCTTTGGCTGGTGAAGGAAGTCTTCAAAACCTGTGAAGCCATTTGTGCAGGATGCGCCATAGAAAACCCACATGGTGCAACTTCTTGGGAGACGGAAACCATGAAGGAGATCCATGACACTAGCATGGATGCTGTTTGCAACCGCTGCAGGACTGGACTTCATTTCTATGATCGCCGAGGAAATGATCAAGGTCTTGTGAAGAAACCTACCAGACTGCGAACTAACAGCCAAGATCTTTTCTCTGCAATGGACTTGCCCTGTCACTGCAAACCCGGAACACATGTGGCTATGGAAGGCAAAAGTGCCCAACTGAAGCAAATGCAAAACTATGAGCTGGGCTTTGTGAGAAAAGCAAGTGAAGCCATTGTGGAGGACATGGAGAAGCGTTGGAAGCAGAGAGAGATTGCAAAGATCTACATGGCTGAAGAAGTTGAAGAAACAAAGAACAGCAAAACCTCAGTTGTCTCGGAGGAAAACAAACAGCTGATGAAAAGTCATGGAAAACAAGCACTGCAAGTTGTCACGAAGCTTCATCGTCAACTCGGTCACCCTGGAACAGAGCGATTTGTTCGAGCATTGAAAGATGCAAACATGAACGACTCCATCATCCAGTGTGCCCGTTCCTTCAAGTGCGATATTTGTCAGGAACATGGTCCCAAGAAGCTTGACAATCCTGCTTCACTCCCTCAAGCTCAACACTTCAATGAGTTGTTGGAAGCTGATGTTTTTCACCTCAAGTGGGATGAAAATGGTGGCAAACAGCGTGTCCTTGCAATCCTTGATGTTTATTCCCGCTATGAGGTCAACGCTTTGGTCGACCGTGAAACTGAAGAGATCGAGCTTAAGGTGTTGGAGGAGCGATGGATCCAAGTTTTTGGGCCACCAAAACGATTCAGAACAGACTCATCAGGATCTCATATGTCACAGAAGTACCTAGACTTTTTTGACAAGTACAACATCAAGCTGCTGCTCGTTCCCAAGGACTCTCACTCTCGCATGGGTACAGTCGAACGACTTCACGCAGTACGACGATTGCAGCTTCTGAAGTTGAAGAAAGAGATCCCGGACATCTCCTTGTCAGATGCCATTCGCATCTGCTGCCAACAGCGCAATCGGTTGCGCAGTGTTCAGGGATCATCGCCATGTCAAATTGTCTTTGGTCACAACCCTTTTGGTGAAGGATTGCTTGATGAGCCCCTTGACGAACGACCGCCTGGAACCACAGCCATTCAACAGGACCAACATCTCCGTTACGCTGCAGGCCGTGCTTTCTATGAAGCAAATCATTCCGAGTTGCTTCGACGTTCATTGCTGGCACGACAACGCACAGAGCCTGAGCAGACCTTGCAGCTTGGAGATTTTGCCTACTATTGGCGGCAAGGCGAACAGAAGCTTGAAGCCCGCTGGCGTGGACCCGCTCTGGTCGTGGCTATCGAACCGCGCAGTGATGGTCACCAGACTCCCTCAGTTTACTGGTTGGCGCATGGCACCTCTCTTGTGCGTGCTGGAGCTCAAAATGTCAGACCCGAAGTCGCTCGGGAACAAGTCGCTCGTTTGACTTCCATGCCCGACACTGCCTTGAGTGCCTCGGTTCGTGCTCGCTTGAAGCAAGCTTTGGATCCAGTGCAGGGTCCGGTGCGATTTTTAGATGTCTCTGGGGGTACTTCTTTCGCTGACGCCAAAGGCATCCACACTGTCACAACACCGACAGTTCCTTCACAGAACGCAGACCTCCCTATGGACATCGAATACGAACCGACAGAACCAGATCCTGAGGCAATGAAACAAGAAGAAGAACAAGAAGAAGAAGAAGCGGCACACAACAACGCGGCAGCCACAAACCACAGCGACAGCAGGTTGGACGAAACGACAACGGCAGCTGCAGAAACAGCCGCAGCCACAAACCACAGCGACAGCAGGTTGGACAAAACCACATCGGCAGCTGCAGAAGCGAAAGCGGAAACAACAGAGCGTGCCGCAAAGGAGATCGAAGAACCAAGAAATCGGTCTCGAAGTCCGCCTCCAAAGGATGAAAGGCATCGTGCTTTTGAGTCGTATAACCAAGCGCGTGCACTGGATGGTCTACCTCCTGTGGACTGGACGGACTCTCGATTTCATGCACAAATGGATGCCTCCGAACTGCAAGATCAACGAGATGAAGCCCTCGCTTTGGCTGAAGGGTTCAATGAACGCCTGCTGAATCCTGAAGAAAAGAAGCAGTTCGATGAAGCCAAGACTCAGGCTTTGCAAGTTTGGTTTGACAACCAAGCATGGAAACCTGTGCCTGAAACTGATGCACAGGAGGGCGAATGTGTTCCAGCTCGTTTCCTTCAACGATGGAAACCAACGAAAGATGGAAAGAAAGCGAATGCCAGGGTAATCATCCAAGGTTTCCGACATCGTGACGTTCTTGAGCAAAAGCTGGATACTGAAAGCCCCACTTTGTCCATGACTGGAAGACAAGGCATCTACATCTACACCGTCCACAAGCAATGGAAATTGTTCTCTGCCGACGTGAAAAGTGCTTTCATGCAGTCCGACTCCATCGACCAAACCACTCGAATCTATGTGAAGCCTAGCTCGGACATGCGTCGTCGTCTGGAACAAATGTGTGGATTGAAGCCCTGGGAAATTCTCAAAGCAACGAAGCCGGCGTTTGGTGATGTCAGAGCGCCTCGACAGTGGCACAACACAGCCGATGCGTACTTGGTCAATGAGTTGAAGTTTGTGCACCACCCGCTTGATCGTTGTCTCTACTTGTCCCTTCGAGCTGCAGTACCTGAAGATGACCCCTTCTGCGTGTTTGAAAAAGATGGAATCAAAATGACTGTTGATGGCATTTTGGGACTGCACGTCGACGACTTTGTTGGAAGTGGTGAACATGTCCACAAGACCACCGACTTCGTGAAAAAAGATATCCCTGAAGGTGATTACTTTTTGAGTCGACTTGCTCGCCTGTCACGAAGGTTTCGTTTTGGATCATGGGATTTTGGTGAAAGTGGAGCAATGTTGTTTTGTGGAGCTGACGTTGTTCAAAGCTTGGACTACAGCACCATCACCATTTCTTTGGCAAACTACATCCAAAAGGTGAAACCAATAACGCTGGAAAAGGCCCGGAAAACGATGGTTGATGATCTTTGTGATGAACGAGAACACAGGCAGCTTAGAGCCCTTATTGGAGCACTTGCTTGGCCGGCCCACCAATGTGTCCCTCAGCTGAGTGCCTCGGTGAGTCTTTTGCAAGCTGCTGCAAACAAGCCGTTCATTCGGGATGTGAATGAAGCAAACAAGCTTTTGAGGTATGCCAAAGAGATTTCCAAAGACTTCAAGCTGCGAATCCGAGCACATGGGCCGCTAGAGTCTCTTCGACTTGGGGCATACTCGGATGCATCATGGGCTGCTCGCCCTGACGGATCCAGCCAAGGCGGAATGTTGATCTTCGCATGTTCGCAAGAAGAGTTGGACAGCGGTATGCCCATGCCCTTGACCATCATGGCTTGGCACTCAAAGAAGCTTCCACGAATTTGCAGGTCCAGTCTGGCTGCCGAGTCTCAAGCTCTTGCTGGAACGATCGATGAGCTGGAATGGTGCAAGATTTTTTTGACTTGTTTCATGGATTTGAGCCTACCAATAGAAGGAGATGCTGTTTTGCAAAAGATGCTCATGTCCCCAGTTGCCACCGACGCGAAAAGTTTGTTTGACGCAACACACTCCATCACGGCTGGCATGAAACTTTCCGAACGAAGAGCCGCCATAGAGATCGCAATCATCAAACAGAGGCTCGAAGCGATTTTGGGAGCTTTTTTGGGTGAACAGTCACCAACAACTGGCCGACGGACTCACAAAGAGCGCAGCTCGTGATTCGATGGCTGTGCTGATGCAACGTGGCACCCACAAGCTTTCTTTTGATCCCAGCTTTGTTGCAGCCAAGAAGGTCACCCAACAAGAAAGAGATTTGGAGAACCATGAACATGAAGTTTGTGCTCGCACCCTCCAAACAGAGCAAAGTTTTTTTCAAGAATGCGTTGAACACCATGGTGAACTCTGTTTGCTTCCTGGGTGTGGCAAAGTTCGAGATTGTTCAGATCCTCAAAACCGTTTTTGCAGCCGCCGCCATTTCTACAAGTTCAATGCTCGAAAAGGAGGCCAGGATCCCTGGCGTATGGCCGCAGCTGCTGCGGTGGTGACACTGATGGCTGAGGCACCAAAAGCTGAGGCCCATGAAGGTGTGAAGAATGAAGCCCAGGACGATTGGAACGTCTTCATAGCTTTTGCTGTCATTTTCACCTTCGCTTTGTTTGGTTTTGAGCAAGCACTGTTCAAGCTGTGGAATGCTTTTAAAGAGCTGCTCGTGAAACCTGCTGCACCGGTCGAGAACGACAATGAAGTGATTGAGAATGACACCGTAGGTTCGAGCCATGGTATGAACTTTGACTCCCCGAGCCATGGCACCGCTGCTGAGCCGCAAACGCTGCAGAACGATGCAGTGGTCCGGCAGGTTTTGATGCTGAAGTCTCCAAAGCGACCTGGAATTGACACAGGTAGCTCATCCGTGAACACCGATGAAAACATCCCCGACCACGAATGGCAAAGGTGGAGCAGATTGAAAGTCGAAGTGCACAATGAAGCTGCCCAGCGCGAATGGCGCTCCTTTTGTGACGAGTTGGAGAACCACAACTCCAACATGGATTCCAGCACCCGTGGAATCCTGACGACGGAAGCCTTCACTACTCAAAGGTGGAGGAAGTTCACCCAGTTGTTGAAGCTGGACAACACCGAAGAGTACACTGATGAACAAATCAAACAGTGGCATCGCATGTGGAACGACAACCTGATGTTCCTTGGAAGCGTGAATGGAGAAATTCACAACCAAAGAGTGAAGCTGCTTCAGCTGCAGGGATTCGACAAAGTGAAAGCGCAGTACCAAGCTGGAGTTGTTTGTGATAGGATGACCCAAACTCCTGTCACCTACGACCATGGCGCAACACGATTGCGCGCAAGAACGCTTCCTGCTGCACAAAGTGGTGCTTGGTACCACACGAACGAGCTCGAGAACCGCTCGCGATGAGAGGGCCAATTTTTGAATGTTTTCCTGTCTCAACGGGGCGAGTCTTTCCAATAAAAGAATTTTGCCCGTGTTGATTGACTGACGCAATCATGTGATTTTCCAAAGGAAGTTGGCATGAACCAGACATGCAGGTGAATTGGGCCGATGTCTGTGGCCATCGTATGTTCAATGTTGTAGGGCCCTTGAGTCACCCCCGGCGCGCCACTCGCTCGAAATCGTGCGTCTTCATTTGAGATTGACTTGGAAGACCTTGTGAGCTTCAACTACAAGTCGAGACATTGCATACTCTTGTATGTCTCATGAACAACACATCACAACTGCTCGGTAGATCTTTTGGTGACGTGGTATGGTTCTGCCGCAGTGGGATGACGTGGTGGCTCAATGTGACCAAGCGCACCTTACTGAAAGCTTTTTAGCTCCTAGTAGTAAGGCCAGGAGCCCCTAGTAGCTTCTTGTTACTAGTAGTAAGAATGCTCCCAGTGGCGATGCCAGGAGCCCCTAGTAGCGTCCTTGCTATTCTAAGCCTTCTTAGCTTGCAATTTCTTGCCCGTGGCATGCGTTCTGCAATGATGTGGGCAGATTCTTTCTGCCGTTGTGTGGTACGGTTTTCTGTGCAGTGATGCGCTGAGGCGGTTCGCTTTGACATGTTCTTTTCTTTGAGGATGAAACAGGTTTAATTAAACAAGTAAAACGAAAAACACACGCAAACAAATACAAACATAAAAGGAAAAAGGAGAGCCTGTGACCCGTGATGAATGTCAGTCAAGGTTCCCTTCAACCAGAATTCGCCCCGGTTTTCCAAATACGCAGATCCCAGAGAGGCCAGCGCGCTTTGCTGCTTCCCGAATGAACCGCTGTTTCCAGGGTGCAGTAATGTGGTGCATATACCTAGAAGGCTGCCAGATGCTGGAAATCCAGCTTTAAAGTTTCAACATCTTTCGATATTCAAAACACGTCTAAATACATTATATCATTAAATACATCTACTTTTTAACTCCAAATGTAGAATGTTTTGCAAAGTTGAACCATTCGCTTTCCTTGAAAGTAGGCTTGGCCTAGCGTGGTTGATCTCGCCACTGCCACTGTTCGCTGATCATGCTGGGCCCGCTCGGGCAAGTTGCATAGCTGCACGGCCGAGCTGGTCGGCAACCTCCGCATCTTCCGTGCCTTGCAGGCATTTGCGATTGAGAAGGACACCTTAATAGCCATAACCTCCCCCTAACAGCGATGGCCTCCAACCTAAGAGAGATGGGCTCCAACCTAAAAATAGCGATGGCCTCCCCCTAAAGGGGACCCGTTCTCTTCCTAAGATCTCAATGTTGGAACTGACGAACAAACATGTTTAGATGTGTGGAGCAAACCCACGCCAAACGTCAATGCAGGTCTTGGCAGTTCAATGAATGCGGGCCAAAAAACTTGTTTGGTGCCGTATTACTTCTGGATCCCATTCCACACGGGCTTGGCGTCGCTGTTCCAACGAGAGCTTTGGCACATCTTCCTCATCTTCTTCGTCGTCGTCTTCCACGTCCTCTTCAACGTCCTCCTCTTCTAACTCCTCAAGGTCTTCGACCTCATCCTGTTCTGAAGCCTCTACCGCCTCTTCTTTCTTATCCACCTGTGAAATGGGCTCGCTGGCAGTGCGGGGCGCTCAAAGCTTGGGATGCGCTCAGTCGGTCAATAGCAGTTAAACATACAAACGAGCACACAAATGATGTGAAACCACATGTCAAATGTGATATCTGTTTGTTCTGCTAACGACAATGTTCAAACTACACATGCCCCAATTCCCGTCTCACTCTCGTCACCCGTCACAAAGGCTCACCTTCAAGCCTAACTGAAGCGAACTTCCAATCAGCATCTCTTGGTCACTCTTTGCATTCTGAAAGAGCTTCCTGCATCTGGCTTTGCATTCTTGTGGCTTTTGAAAGAGCTGTATATAGTTGTAATATATAGCTGAACTCATGAGTGACACTTCGTGACTGCTTTGAATTACACCACAAGGGAGCTCGCACATCGTGAAACATTTTAATGTTGACTTCCTAATAGTAAATGGCCCGTGAATAATACTAAAGCTTTTCAAACACCAATAATAAATGGACCTCAAATAATACGAAATGTTTTCTGGACCTTGATTTTCAGCTGCTTCCAGACCTTGATTCATCCAAGCTGATTCTGAGCTTTCAGCTGATTCCAAAACCTGATTATTTTGTGGTTTCCTTTACTCTGGAATTTTGATTTGGCTGCTGCATTTTCCTTTTAAACTTGCTTATTTGGGCATTGCCATTTGTAACCTGAAATCAACCCACAAAGACCACCCCCCACGAGCAGCCCAAAACTTCAATTACTCCAGCTGGTTCTTTTCGTGATTTCCTTTCCTTTCCTTTCATTGTCCTTTCAATTTCCTTTCCTTTCCTTTCATGTTCCTTTCATTTCTTTCCCTCTCCTTTCATTGTCCTTTCAATTTCCTTTCCTTTCCTTTCATTGTCCTTTCAATTTCCTTTCCTTCCATGTTCCTTTCACTTCTTTCCATCTCGGTTCATTGTCCTTTCAATTTCCTTTCCTTTCCTTTCATTGTCCTTCCAATTTCCTTTCCTTTCCTTTCATTTTCCTTTCATTTCTTTCCTTTCCTTCAATCTCCTTTCCTTTCCTTTCATTTCCAATTCAAATCAAGATTTTCTATGATTTTTCTGGATTTCACATTATTTGAGGCCGCACTTGATCAAGGGGGGAGGGGGGGGGGGTTTATTATTAGGAGGTGGACATTACATGGTCCTGTATCGCTGCATAATGGTGTCCTCAGCGGTCAGCAAAGAAAAACCAGTGACACTGTCAGTACCGATTGAGCATCTTTGATTGACTAGGCGCCATCTGGAAAGGTGCTGAGTACACAAGCTGTCGCAAGTTTTGCGCTGCCCGAGCAGCCTTGAAGCTGCTTGCCACTGGCTTCCTGAGAGACATCATAGCTTTTTCCCACGAAACAGCAGCTTGATGGCTTCGAGTTTCGAACGTTTACATGACCCCACTGCTCACTCCGCTAGAGCAACCATCCACAAGAATGATCAATCAGCATTAAAGAACCGAGGTACAATGACATGTTGCAATATCGTGCATTTCCCAAGCCAAGCTGCCACTTGCTTTTCTCTTTCTCAAACGCCTGCTGTCCCGCAAAGCTAATAGCTACACAAAAACATGGCCCAAACACTAGTGGCATTTCATTATTTCGCTAAGAATGGTATTCAATTCAAGGCAAGAAAGACTTGGCAAAGGAGAATACTGCACCATGTGTATTGCAGCGTGGAATCTCAAAAATGGGACATGGTGCAATCCCCATGCCTTGACCATGTTCACCTCATCTGGATTTGTGCAAAGTGGAAAGCTAGGCAGCTGAAGTTTCAAAGGACAAACCCATAGGAAGATTCTGGTCAGATATTCAATGTGATGTTGTGATCTGTGGCGATTTGTGAAGTGCAGCGTGGTGATCGTATGTGATCTTTCGGAATCTCCATTCTTTATGCACTTTCTCGAGAAGCCTCTACCACGTGTCTTACAAGCATCTACTTGGAGGAACTTCACATAATGCAAATAGTCAGGCATGGCGCAATTGAATCTGCAATCTTATATGTCATATAATATACAAGAGCAAAGGTTTCTAAGGATATGAACGGGAGCGCCACTGAGTGGTTTGGTGATGTTTGGTCTGGAATGAATAGAATGCTCTAGCTTGCCAAACAAAGGCACATCGAAGGCCTAGCAATCGTCTTAGAGTTACCGTCAGAGTTTTGAGCCGTGGCCACCAACTTGGAAAAAGCAGGTGCGCACTCCAAGCGGCTCCAGAGTATTTTAACTTTTGAATTTGTTTACCAAACTTCACGTCATTTGAAACATTTGGCCTTCGGGGACTTTGAGGTCGGCAGCCCGACAGCTCTGTGGGCTGCGAGAAATGGGAGACAGTCAATCGAAATGGGACAAGGCATGAAATGGCCACACAGATCGTGCGAAACCTGGCTGCGAAAGAAGATCTTTCCACAGCGTTCCCCAATGAATGGAGATCACCAGCGGCGATTGTTCGTCGTGTTCGTCTGTATTTCCACAGTTTTGTGGGTACATAATTTTATAGAATGTTGGCCGCACACCCACACTTTCCTGTAACATTCCCACAACAGATTCTGTGGCTTCATACCGTTTTTGTACGGTTCCGTGACTCTAATTTCTCAGCAATACGTCTTTTTGACAAACTACGCCATGGAAAACTTTGTTGACACTCAAACATGTGCTCAGCAACGAGTGGTTTTGGGGCCAGGCCACAAAGAGCAGCGCATCCGCATCCAAGTAGCTGATGTCTTTGGGCCATGGACATTTCAACTTCATCGCGCTGCAACACTCGTGGATAACCCTCCTCAACGAAAGAAGAATTCCGTACTTGCTTGAAAAAGGGAAGGATGAGGAAGGATGGTAAGAATCGAAGCTGAACCAGTTCATTCTCTGACCAAGGCTCAGAACGTCTCCAACACAAACAAGGAGGTCCGCACCCTTAACGCCAGGATCAAGGCGTTCAACCTTCCTGACTCACAAATCGAATCAAATCGATAAGAATCAGTAATGATATGATTTCACATCGATGTCCGTTGCTTACTTTCAGCAGGTATTCTGATTGCCAAATCATGTCAAATCCATAGATCGATGGGAATGACAGCTGTGCACAGCAACAAATAGCAATAGCATGCATCGCAAGCATTCCCAAGCAACACTCCCCTAGTTTTGGTAGATGGTTCCTCTTTTGGCTCCCAAAATCACCACTCGGCCTTACTCCTCTATTCATCACTCTGATTTCATCCAGGAGTCTGGTCTTGCAAAGCTTGTAGGACGGACGTCCACATGTCTGAGATTTGCTTTTCATCCCTCGCCTGGACATTGCTCTGGCAAACCCAGTCAGCACATCCAACATTCGCTATTGCAATTTATTTTCTGTCCCAGCACCGTGACCCCATGAATATCCACAAGAACACTCAAATGACACATGGACTTTGCTAAATTGCGCAGCCAGCGCGACCGCGAGGGCGCGACCAGTCCTGCTCACTGAGGCTAAACTCGAGGAACCACAACAAAGCACAGAACTCACTCTTTTCCACGGGCTGTCGGCTTCCTGTCAGCTTCACAAGTACTGCAATGCAGGAGTAGCAGTAGGAGTAGGGGATAGTTAAATGGTTGGTTTCTCTAGTTGCTCCTGCTTGGTCCTTGACAAAGAAGAACTGTGATGCTGTCTGGCTCATTGGTCTGAAATTGTCACAAATTAGGCCATGAGTCTTGCAAGGAGCTCGGCCAGTGCTTTCACTGCCAAACGGATGAGGGTTGAAGCAGAACTTTGGCTGCTCATCTCAGTTTGCAAGGTCTCCTAGTCGATGGATGGAAAGGATGAAAGCAACAAGTGATGATTGGTTTCTGTTTGTTATTGTTCCATCGTTGCAACCACAGTATTCCTATGGATGGTTGAACACCTGCTGCGTTGCATGAAAGAACATGCAAAACCATTTAAACGGTCTGTGAAAAGCAATTCCCACCCCATTGGGTTTCTGTGGCTGCTGTGTCCTTTGGCAAGCCTTGTGCTGATTCAGCCCATGTTGACAGAAAATCGTGGCCACGAGCAGCCCACCGCAAGGATTCCACAAGCAAGGCCCATCGTGATGCCTGATTCACTGAAACGGTTTCCCAAGAGCTCTTTGCGAGTCGAGTAGCTACATTGAGCATAAGGTCAGCACTTTTGTGCATTGTATTTGGCACTGTGCACATGCAACCATGCATCCACCCACGCACACAAAGGGTAGGGCTATTGAGAACTTTGGAGTGATGGTAAAGCCCATGACCTCCTAAGTCCACCGCCTATTACAAGGTACAGCTTGTGCAAGCGACACAGTCGACGATTGTCATGCAGACTACTGTAGGAGTTCCACATGCTGGTTCTCGGCTTAGCCCAGTTGTCATTCGAGTGATAACTGAAAGGTTCGTTGCAGGTACGTTCGGATGATCAGTCCGAATACCCCACTCTGTGACCTAGCTTCGTTGAACTGGGTCAGTCACAGAGTGCCCAGTTCCCCTGAACAAGAACAAGAATCAAGAAGCTTCCGCTTGCGATAGCGGTTTGCGAACACACACACACACACACCCTTATAGATATGCAGAAAGCGGTGCCACACGCCAGCCTAAGTGAAAAACCAAAGGGACCAGGTAAAACACCACGAGAAACCTACAACTCCTCCAAGGTCAAATCCTTGAAGCTCAAACGTCAAGCTCAAAACGAATGCAAGTCTGCAGAGCGCAAGCCGATGCAAAGGCCAGCGATTTGTTCTAGTAACGAAGGGGCCCATGAGGAAGTAAGTGGTAATCACAGCAGGTACGTCTGGCTGATCAGGCCAGATATCAGCGCGCAACTTGACCCTCTTCGTTGGGTCACCAGTCAAGTCCGTGGGTGATCCCCCTGCTTTAAAAGAAGAAACCATCAAACGCAATCCAAAAGGATCCCTGTACTACAAGGGGCACACACACACGCACGCCTCCCCAAGGGGAGGCGAAAAACTAAGGTTAAGGCAATTGCGCACGTGTGCACGCGCAAGAGACAAAAGAATGAAGACGTGACAAGAGGACGGGACGGGACAAAGGTGCAAGTGGTTGTGATGAAAGGGGAGCCAAGTGCACAGGGACAAACAATGAAACCCACCTCATTACAAAAGACCTGGGCCACCTAAAACCTGAGTTTAAAGTACGTGTAGTTGCGCACGTACACGCTAAGGCCGGGACCAATGTGCGCAAACGAAAGAAAGGATGAGATGAAAGACATGAAGACAGGAGGACATGAAAGAAAAGAGGGGGACAGAGGTGTGTTCAGGGGAAGAGGATGAAAAGGGAAACAATTGGAGGGGACGAAAACCAATGACCCAAAAACTCATTAAAGAACCTAGGGAAGCCTCGTTGAACATGCGTGCACCTAAGCTCACGACAGACTCAGTGAGCCTTGAACAAACTTTGGTCGCTGTGACCACGTACGGCCTGCCCGGAGGCTGCCACCTTTGACCGCTTCGGTCACGTGTAGGCTTGAGCCAGCTTGGAATTCAATACTTCAGCAAATCTTAGTACTTTCGGCCTGGGCCACCTACGCTCGCTGCGAGCTGCTCTGTATCCGCCACACGCCAGCCTAAGTGAAAAACCAAAGGGACCAGGTAAAACACCACGAGAAACCTACAACTCCTCCAAGGTCAAATCCTTGAAGCTCAAACGTCAAGCTCAAAACGAACGCAAGTCTGCAGAGCGCAAGCCGATGCAAAGGCCAGCGATTTGTTCTAGTAACGAAGGGGCCCATGAGGAAGTAAGTGGTAATCACAGCAGGTACGTCTGGCTGATCAGGCCAGATATCAGCACCGAACTTGACCCTCTTCGTTGGATCACCAGTCAAGTCCGTGGGTGATCCCCTGCTTTAAAAGAAGAAACCATCAAACACAATCCAAAGGATCCCTGTGACTACAAGGGGCGCACACACACACACGCCCAGGGCCTCCCTGGAGGGCTCGGTGGCGCAAGGTCGGGCCAAAAGCCTTGGTGGCACTCATGATAACCCGAGTGTGAGCAGGGTGAAGAAGAACCTTAGTTCGTTCAAATTTTTCCGACTAGCCTGGAAGCCAATCCAGTCAGCGATTTGCATTTAGCATCATTTAGCAATCAGCATTTCCACGCCGAGAAGAACCCGTGAATGTTCTACTCGTTGGTAGAATCCAATAATGTCTTGTTGTCGGAGTGTCAAGATCAATTTCTTGACACGTCCGGTGTGCAAAGAGACGTTGAATATCTGTGAGAATACCGGTGATAGCAGCCACTTCCAGTGAACATGGACAACAAGAACAAGAATCAACAATCTTCCGCTTGTGATAGCTGCTTACACACACACACACACGGCGCTCCCGCCGAAAACTAAGTTTTGTTGCTAGCAATCGCCAAAGGGTATTTCAATGCAGGAAAATGTTGCGATGTAGACTGTAAAACATGAGCTGGATGCTGAGTGCCTGAGTGAAACGCATCCGACTCCTGAAACTTACGAGGCAACAAAGAATGCCACTGACGTGGACGCGACAACAAAACACTGTCAGAGAAGCGGTCGGCGGGGGAGGCTGCAAACGGAACCACCTTCTTCTTAGCTGACAGTGTAGCAGTTGTGAATTTTATTTTTAAGTACCGGAGTACCGGATCCCAAAACGAACACAAGGCCGGACAACTGGAAATTGTTGGTCAAACACATACGAGCATTGATCAAGACTGATTGTCAAGTTGAAACAATCAATGATACGCCCTTCAAAGGCCGGGCCCCCAGTGTGAACGACCTTCCGCTTGCGATAGCGGTTTACACACGCGCGCCTGGCCCTCCCTCTGGAGTCTTGTTTATCGAAGTGTCAAGTCAGTTTCGTGAAGCGTCCAGTGTGCAAAGAGACGTTGAATGTCTGTGAGATTACTGGTGATGGTGGCCGCTTCCTGTGAAAGTGGACGAGTCAATTTTGCCATCTCCAAAAGTACAACTGCAAGAGCGTATCTGAGTGGCAATGTTCAACTACGACTGCAATCAACAATCGGTCATGCGTTCTGGTTTGGGTAAGGTGCGACTCAAAAACAAAGGCTTGTTGCTAGCAAAGGTTGTTTCAAACGAATCCACGCAGGAAAACACGTGGTTATGTAGACTGTAAAACCTGAGCTGGATCCTGAGTGAAACACATCTGGGTCCTGAAAAGTAGAAGCGAAACAGAATGCCGCTGACATGGACACGACAACAGAGCGCTGTCAGGGAAATGGTCGGCACGAGTAGCTACAAACGGAACCGCCTTCTTCTTGGCTGACAATGTATATAGCAGTTGCGAATTTTAGTTAAGTACCAGATCCCACATGGAACAGAATTGAGGCCGTACTGCAGCTGGGAATTGTTGGTCGAACACACAGACTTGTCCTAATCAACTCTTCCCAACTTGTCCTAATCAACTGTGTCACATGTGAGCATTGTGTCCAGAATGATTGTCATGTTGAAACAATCAACGGTAGGCCCTTCGAAGTCCGGACCGGAATTCGAGGGAGGCAAGGATTCTTTAAGCGTGCGTGCACGCGCAAGAAAGACAAATGAAAAAACATGAGGACGGACGACAAAAGGTGTATGTGGTTGCGAAAAAAGGGAACCAAGTGAAAAGGGGCAACCGATGCGCCGAGCCTCCTTGTCGAAAACTGGGCCACCTAACCTATTTCCAGTGTAAAGGTGCACTTGCGCGCAAAGGGTGGGCCAGTGTATGCGCAAAACAAAGACAGGAATGAAGTGACTGGACGTGAAGGTGGACAAGACATGATAAGAACAAAGGCTAATAATATGGGTGCAGGAGCAAATGAAATATGAAGGGGATTCGGTGTGTGCTCTTAGAGACGTAAGTGCTCTGCCCCGAAGGAACGTTGCACGCTGGCAGCTTCTTCACGAGACGGCTGCACGGCCCACAGGAACCGCAGTCTTTGCGCGGGTCAGATTTCGGTGGCCTCCCCGCAGGAACCCCGCATTACTTCTGAAGGGAAGGCCCTTGCCGACTCTAGTCACCCGCGGCCCGCAGTTCACATTGGGTAAGGCTATTGAGGAAAACTTTGGAGTGATGGTAAAGCCCATGACCTCCTAAGTCCACCGCCTACAACGTACAGCTTGTGCAAGCGACACAGTCGACGATTGTCATGCGGACTATAGGAGTTCCACATGCTGCGTTCTCGGCTTAGCCCAGTTGCCATTCAAGTGAAAACCGAAACGTTTTTTGCAGGTACGTTCGGATGATCAGTCCGAATATCACACTTTGTGAGCTAGCTTCGTTGAACTGGGTCAGTCACAGAGTGCCCAGTTCCCCTGCTTCTGAACAAGAACAAGAATCAAGAAGCTTCCGCACACCCACGCATACACACCAACACGCATACCGTCCAATCGTCTCTTTGTAGAGAATGGTCACGAAGCCTGTCTACATGCAATTTGTGTATATAGTGTATATACATATATACTGTAGTACATGTGATTATACAATATTGAAAAATGATATATGCATATAAAGTAGTTCATTTCAGGTGACAGGTGGTGGTGTTGGTGGTGGTTGGTCGTCATATCCAGAAAACTTGCGCAGCAACACACGAAGAAGCAGAACGGTAGAAGCCCGAGAGGATCGCAAGATAGGACACGAACGGAATTTGCAAAATGCACGAACTCAGAAACAAATCCAGCAGAACATGATGGCAAGGGCGAGATGAAAAGAGATAAAACACCGGACGTGGGGGTCCAATGCCAACTTGGCAAGACAAACAATCAACAAAAACTTACAGATTCCGAGATAGAGGTAAACAAAGAGGCAAAGTTGCAGGAGCAGCTTAGAGGCGCTCCAAGAGCGTCTACTCAAGGGGTTGTACTGATCTCGATTGCTATTGCTTAGGCGACCCCCGAGATTGACAGAGAATACAAAAGCACCTAAGCGACTTACTTAGTGGACACATGACTAGGGACTTGACTGCGGGAAGTCGGCCCACGGCCCGTATACGCCTCCCAGTTTCAATACTTTTCTTAGTCTTATGATATGGGATTTACAGATTTACAGAACTTTCTGTGTTTGCCTCAGTTCCATTTGGAAGAACATCATTTTAAAATCAGTCCCAAAACTTGTTCTTCGATCTCACAACATTGTCTTGCGAGGGTGGGGGGTTCCCGGGAGGCCATGATCAAATTCACAAATTTGTCGTCATGACATTGTCTTTGATCTCACAACTTTCTTCACGCCATTGCTTGCTCGTCAGTTCTCCCGTGCAGTCGCAACTTGGTCGCTTTGCTGAAAAAGCAAGGTGGCTGAAATTGACGATAGTTGTGCGCTGTCTAAAAAGGGCTTTTGGAACGTTTTTGGAAGGAAACAACGTTTGCAAAAAGCCTGTGGATCAAAGATGCTCAACTCCTCCAAGGCAAGAGTGACTCCGACGGCAACATATCTGACGGACATGTGTTGCCCAAGGGCGGTTGTCTAGGAGCAGAATCGTTCTGGAATATTATCGACTGATTCTGAACGGTTGCAAGTGCATTGTTTCGCTCAAAGTTCTGCAGTGGGAGTGTGGTTGCGCCGTGTCACGGAGCGAGCTTCCACATTGTGTTCACCCGTAAAATTGCGACGCACCCAGGCCGTCAAGAACCCAAACTCAAGCATTTACAGCACGAATGATCCGTTTACCTATAGGTTGCCTTGATTGGTGGGCATTAAGAAGCCAACCAACACGCAGAATTATATCACCAGTGGTAGGACTCCATGATCTCATTCGTCTCTTTCAACGGTTGAACTGCCGCTGCCTCGGGCAGGTCCATTTGTGCCAAGCCTGACCTTGTCTGCTCGTCTGGGACTGCCGCCTCCCAAACAGTCCATACCTCCTAGCAATCTCAATTTTGCGAGACCAAAATCTGAGCAGTGGCTGGACTATGTGCAATCTGATTGGTTACAGTTTGATGTGAGCTTCTGAATCATTCAAAAGAGTGTTACCGCTTTGCCAGGCTTTGCCATTCACAAGCATTATAGGTGCCCAAAGCAACCCTCCAAATGCAGACTCCAAACTTAAGAGTAGAGGAACATGCAATCGTATTCAGCTCCTCTGGCGTCCTCTGGAAGTCCGCATACGTGTAAGGGAAGAAACCATTTGCTCTGCCCAAATCCGCGTTCCTCTCTGGAAGACTGCGAAGCTGACTGCGAAGGCTTGTACGAGGGGCTCTTGGCCAAATTGGAGGAACAAAGACCTCGGTCTCCACAGTATGAAGCTGTCACTAGCATGCGTTCTGATAATGTTGGGCTGCTAGGCCTAGGGCTAAAGACTATATATCGCATGCATCCTCTGGCTGCGGCCAAAAGGACAGGGGCACAGCAAAGAATCAAGAAGACTCTGCAAGTGGCACCATGGGTCATTCAGAATCGATTCATTAAGAGTTGGTCGGCACTAAACAGCCCTTGAGACTGTGAACACTGAACTTCTGCGAGATTTGCCGCTCCATTGAGTGACTGGCTTCAAATTCAAAGGCATGGCAGCATAGCAACAGGTTAGTGAGTAGTTATATACTTACAATTGTCCTTGTCAGATTGTAAGATTTGATCCCAAGCTGCACAATCCATCCTCCTAGCGATCCAGTGCATCAATTTGTTGCAAACACGTACCAAAAATCAGCAAGTGCAGTGATGTTGTGCGCTCATTCATCACTCTAAGAGGCTTGCGTTGAAGCGAATTAGAGCCACGCTAGCTCCCTTTTGCCCATCCTCAAACAAATAAGACACGCCAAACACAAACAATAATAGTTTTCTGATGTTTTCTGCATTCTATCTGAGAACTCGGACGCCCGTGCTTCCTCCAATAGTGTAGCTCACAGCCTGACTTGGGAAACTCAGCCAATAGCCATTACATGAGTCATTGGAACTCATGTGCAGAGACCCTTTGCAACCGTTCCACTCGGATTCTCTTGCGCAAACTCCAAAATCCCAAATCCATATTTGTCATGAGTCATGGCAAGAATTGCTAGAATCTAGAACCCTGTCTTGAAGTATTGTATGTCTCACAGTCTTCAAAGCCCTACCACCTGCCAACTGCCTAGTATTCATTCCAGCGACTGGTTACATTTCCCCATGCATTGGGGGGAATGTCGACCGTGTGACCTTGTGTGATGATGTTATATTAAAGGCTTGCCTTCTTTTAAAAGGACTCTACCCTAACCTCAACATTTTGGAAGGCAATGTACTTCTGATATCTTTTGTCGTCGTAGGGAGACGATCACTGCTTGGTCCCCCGCGAACAAATGAGGTGAGATCGGGAAAACATGCGCCTCAGGTGTGTGCGAAACATGGTGCTACTCGGGCTGTGCCAAGCACGAGGCACCTTCGAGTCGGTAAGATTGATTTCCAGGGTGTAAATGCACAAGAAGTTGTCCAGGCTCCACACCTCCAAGTGAAGCGCAAAAAAAGCATGGAAGCAAGAAAGTAACAAAAAAGAGAGATGAGATGAGCAAAAGAAGGTAAGAGGCCCTATTGGGCATTGCATTCTTTGTTTCATGTCTTTTTCCTTCTCATATCACTATTTGAATACTGTAATACATTGTAATACTAAATATATCACTTCACATCTCAAAATTGAAGCTCGCACACCTGCACCCGAAGGTCCAAACCACAGGACACTGCAAAGCCTGTCGCGGACAAAGCTTCACTTGATCACCGAGTGTTCAGACGACATGGGTTTATCATCAGGTCTATCCAAACCACAATGTCATATCATCAGGTCTATCCAAACCACAATGTCATTCCATTGGCAATGCGGAGATGCAGGCGCACTCTGCGCCACAGCTTTCTCAGGCCGGTGGTAAAAGGAGACCATCTCAACCTTGAAGCCAATGCATTTCAGTTCAGCTCTTTCCCAATTGCTTTCTTGAGAACCATGCAGGCCGTGTATGACCGTAGAAAGTGTGCTCTAGCCTCGCCAAAGTTGAATAGCCAAGCTGCGACACTTGAACCTTGATAAAATGTTTTTATTGGATAGAGCCCATCTGCGGATTTTGTTGAAGCGATAGGACCTTGTGCCCACGCCATCAGCCACAGCATCTGTCCCAGGACGGGCGTCAAACGCCTCAGCATAAAGGAAGCAAACTTCAATCAATACTTGTATTCTTAAGTGCCTTATTATTTTAGACTTGATTATACTTTTTTGTACTCCAATACAACTGTGATCTTTGGAAACACAAGATCACAAGTTGTTGGACTTTGCTTGCCTGGATGCTCCACAACTGGACGGCTCCATTGGCGGCACCTCACTCAAGCCGACACATCCCTGGTCCCAACCAAGAATGTATGCCAGTTGAGAGACTATGTCACTCAAGCGTGGCATGAATCCTTTTACAAACCCAGAAGGTGCTTTACACAACGACGAGGACATCAACAGGAAAACAGTGAACAAGCCAACCATCTACAACTTCGTGGTGAATATTCAAGGATGTCATTGGTGTAGTATTTGAGCAAAACAACAAACACAAACCACGGCTAACTTGCACACTAAGTGTTCAAAACACTGTCTGGCACGAGCCTGTGATCATCTGAGCTTGACTGGATGAGCGCATGTGCAAATGTGCACAACACACCTTGCAACGGCACATTGGAGTGCTCCGACTTCAATCATATTATCTCAACTCAATAGTTGAAAGGTCGAAAGAACTAGTACTGGTATGTACTGGTAGGCTTGCCAGAGTCTTGAGCCAGTTTTGTTGACATTGCGCTGTCCTGCCTGACATTTTCTATGGTCAACATCAACCCTGCGCCCTGTCACTTTCTGCTAATCCAGGATAATCCAGGCTGAGGCCAAAGTGCCTAATGTCAGATTCTAATTAGTCAAATGGGAGAGAATAATACACAGTTTTCGCAAAATTATTTCAACGCCCTGAATAGTTTAATGGGAGTGAAAGATAAAAGCTCCTTTTTGCCCAGGGTGCTTTTTTGTTGTGTTGTTTACTTTCCTATTGTTCTGTTATTGCTCCCCTTTGAAATCCCTACTTGACTCTCCTGCGGTTTGCTTGATACATGGAATTCTGACCTGGAAATTGCTTTTTAAAATCAGTTACGCTTTCAAATGTTCAAGGGGTAGTAGACGAGCCCAGGGGAAGTGAATGATAAGAATTGTTTAGGGGGTGGGATTAAGAAGTAAACTTGGAGCCCTAAGAACATATCTAAAGGTGCTTTTCTATTATTCTGTTATTGCGCCCTTTTGAATCCCTACTTAACTCTTCTGAGGTTTGCTTGCTTCATGGAATTCTGACCTGGAAACCGTTTTCAACAACGCTTATTAAAACTATCTATGATGCAAAATGGGGTAGGGGGTCCTGCTTGAGATTTTATAGATATAAAACGGCGTGGCGTGACCCCCAATGTGTTCATAAAATGAGCTAGCTCTATAAAATGAATGCGTTGACCGCAAACTTCTTATAAATTGACGCGGTTTGCTACCATCAAGTTAACTGGCATGAAGAGGGCGTGATGTCTATGAAATTCACCGTCCTGACACCACATTCAACATCAAATATATAACTGTTTGGATGTTTTGTGTGGGCGGGCAGGCGCCCGATAATGTGCCCGTGAGACGCATTGGCCATTTTCAATTTGTTTCATGAACATGGTCAACAGCTAGAGAGGATTGTGGCCGAACAAATGGCGATGTCGATGCCGACAAAAATCATTGATGAAGCAGTTTGCTCTTGGGGGGAAAGGCATAGGGCGTACCAAGAAATCGTTTTTGACTAACATTGGTCCAAACGAATTGAAATTGTTTGGAGTCTATGCTGGGATTAAATGAATTTGATGACATATTTTCACAATATCCAACTGAAAAGATCATGTATATATATAGAGTACTTTCATGTACTTCCCAATTCTTGCCTATAAACTTATATCTGGAATCAGGAGGGGCTGCTCAGCTGCAACCAGCTTGCTTTTCTTGGGGGATCTGACATTGAACACAATTTATGGAATAAGCTGGCGAATAGACCACATGATTCCATAGAAAAACACTTTGTGTTGGCACTGGCACTGGCACGCTTCACATTATCTGATGTTTTAAATATTTTTGTGTTATTTTTATAGTTCTTAACCTCATTCCCCGTCGTGAATTTAGATGTGTGTTCTTTTTCTATGTTCTATTTATATTTTTCTTTGAGGCAATCTTCAGGATATTCACTGAAACATCTGCCACATTGTTTGCTATAAAGTCACTCGTATCTACCCTCACTAATGATTATCTATAAAACCAACATGCTCTATAAAATAATACGCAAGGAAGGTTTCTCTATAAAATCAACGTAGTTAGCAGTGACCCTCATTTCATTTTATAGAGAGGTATTGCATCCTAGATTTAAAACTCAACGATTTCATTGCTCCAAACAATTGTAAGGGGGTAGTGCACAAGCCCAGGGGAAGTGAATAATACTAATTGTTTAGGTGGGAATAGTAAAACGTTTTCTTGCCCCAAGTAAAATATCCGCGACGACTACTACTACTACTACTTACTACTACTTACTACTGCTTACTACTGCTTACTACTCCTTACTACTACTCACTACTACTTACTACTTACTACTACTACTACTTACTACTACTACTTACTACTACTTACTACTACTTACTACTACTTACTACTACTTACTACTACTTACTACTACTTACTACTACTT